TTTTTTTAATTTTAATGATACTCATACTAAGGGGATAATTACCCCAAAAGATAGTGCCATACTTCAGTATCGAATGTACATAAGAGTAGTAAATCATCTTCATTGAATCTAATGACATAAAGGGCTTTATTTAATCTTTATGATAACACAGTAATATGATTCTGCAATTGATTAAGCAACTTAATTATAAAGTAAAACTTAAGTTAAAAGTAGCAGTTGTACTGTCTTATTCCAAAGTTTTCTGTGATATTCACATGCTCAGTGAGTGCAACCAAACTTGCATACATGCATTGGCTTTGACAGTGACAGAAGATGTGGGCATATACACATGTTCTGTCAAGTGATGTGGTGAGGCCTTTTTACAATTATCAACATGTCAGACAGACTGGCAGAATATGATATAGTGGTAAACAGATATACGAGTACACCAGCCTGAGGTAAACAGATATACGAGTACACCAGCCTGACTTTTATATACAAGATTCTTAAGATTTTGGGTGCAGATCATGGTAACAGTGCAGTCTAGGGTACATTTTTTCATTGGCTGCTCCAATGTTTGGATCATGAGTTCAAATCCCACTCAGGACATGGATGTACTTCCACGTTCCTTGTGTGTTTTAACAGTCCTGCATGTGTAAACATCTAGCAGTGGGCCAGTCTTCCATGTAGAGTCCTACGAGTTGTCTGCAAGAGTCATGCTCATAATTGCATAGTTTAATTTTAATTGAAACACATCATTAAGCAAATCTACACAGATTAACTCCTCACTATTTGTGATTGTTACAGGCTATCTATAGAAATCAACTAAAGAAGAAGTGAATAATTTATTATTTTTTGTAATTCATTCGTCTTTGTAAATTATGCTGCTGTTTATTTTTCAAGATTATATGAACAAATAAGGATTTCTTGGAAGAATGTTAAATACATTTGCGTGAGTTAACTGCAAATGTTGATACAATAACATTCCATAACAAACAGAGAAAACTGCATAATGAGGATCTTCATAACTTGTACTCTTTGCCATGTATAATTAGAATGATCAAGTCAAGGAGGATGAGATCGGCAGGGCATCTAGCCTGCATGGGGGAGCAAAGGATGCATTTAGTATTTTCGTGGGAAAGCCAGAATGAAAGAGACCACTAGGAAGACCTAGACATAGGTGGGAAGATAATATTAGAATGCATCTGAGAGAGAGGGTAGTGTAATGTGGATTGGATCGATCTGGCTCAGGATAGGGACCACTGGAGGCCTCTTGTGAACATGGTGATGAACCTTAGGCTTCCATAAAATGAGAAATTCTTTAGTGGCTAAACAACTGGTGGCTTCTCAAGAAGGGTTCAGCTCCATGGAGTTAGTTTACTGATACTGTGTTTAAAGCTTCAAGTCAACTTCTGTTTTTTGCTTAATAAATTACAGTCGCCAGTATCATTAATGTATTCATTTATGATTTATTTTTGTCCTGTTAATTTGTACGAGGGTTGGAACTTTAATAGTGGCAACTATTTATTTACAACTGATACAAAATAGACGCATGTTTTGAAGTTTTACTGTCCTTCAGTGTAGTCACCAGCATTGTGTACAACCTGTTGCCAGTGATGTGGAAGTCATAGGATCCCTTTAGCAGCACCTGTTGTGTTGATAGTTCGAATGGAGCGGTCTACTGCCTGAAGAATCTCTGGAACAGTTCTGAAGCGAATCCCACGAAGTGGTTCCTTCATCTCTGGAATCAAGTTGAAGTCACAAGGCTTAAGTCCGGAAGTATGGTGGATGGTACAGCACTTCCCAGCCCCATCGATCGAAGAAATCAGCCACAGGTTGTGCTGCATGCGGCCAAGCATTGTCCTGCAAAATGATAGGTGGGTTCTGCGGAAAGTGTCACCACTTCTTTCTCAAAGCTGGTCGCAGGTTGTGTTCCAAAAATGAACAGTAATACTGCGCATTGACGGTCTGGTGTCGGGGAACAGTATGCATTAGGATAACGCCATCACAGTCGTACACAAGAATCACCATAACTTTCACATTGCTAGGGTTCTGACAAATTTTTTATTTTTGTGGTGACCCGTAATGACGCCATTCATTCGATTGGCGTTTCATTGTGGCTCATATGATTTGGCCCATGTTTCATCCAGCATAAGAATGTCTCTCCTTCGCACTCATGGCGCTCCAAGTGGTTACTAGCAGCGTCGTATCATGGCCATTTCTGCATTTCTGTCAAATCATGTGGAACCCATCATAATGCAGTTTTTCTCATGCTCAGGCGTTCCATAAGAATATGAAGCACAGTTGTATGCGCTAATCCTGTCTCTCAGGCCAGCTCACGAATCGTATGGCGTCAATCACTCCAGTAACGCGGAAAGAACATACATTTCTTCTTCACTGACACTAGGATGACCTGGCCAACACATGTCTGCCACATTTTGGCGTCCCTCATTGAAGACTTTTACCTGACCTTGCCACTGTTCTGTAAGTCAATGCAGATTCCCCACAAGCCTCTTGGAGACCTTGATGACACTGTCATGCTGTACGGCCTCTGGCACATTCAATCTCTATCCAACTCCGTTGTTCCTGTTTCGAAAACATCGTGACAGCACTACATTAGACCGCCAGCTAACATGAGGCTGTGTTCTTCTCGTTACTGCGTATGCGCGTGATGTGGGAAGGGAGAGTCCATTTGCTCTGAGGTAAGGTAGGTATGTAACTAACGTGTGGTATAAGCAACATTATTTGGTTCTGTTGCATGGCATCTATACAGCAGTATTGCCACTATTAAAGTTCCAACCCTCGTATGTGCAATGATATTTCAGTCTGTATAGTGATGGGCTATGAGCTGGATGGTCTCAGATTCTCGACAGAGCCAAACAATTTTTCTTCTCTGCACAGCGTCCAGACTGGCTCTGTGGCCCATACAGCCCCCTGTCCCGTGAGTATGGCAAGCCCTTTCCTGGGGTAAAGCAGCCAAGATCTGTAGCTGACAACTCACCTCCATCTAATGCTGATGTGAAGAATGGTGGAACTATACTTCAACCCTCCTGTCTTCATGTCGTGTCACCTAATTAGTTAGGCAGGGGAAATGCGGCAAGTCTATGCTTTTGTGCTACACTGTATAGTTTTCTGCAACGGAAGCTAGTGCTATATAAATTGCAGTGTACAATTAAAAGGAAGTGAATATTCAAGAAATCTTCATCAGAACATGCCCTACGCACGGTCAAACAATCCATCAGCTATGGGTTCGCATAAGATCAAGCTGAACATAACCGAATTACCAACAGAAATGCTAGTATTGATATTCAAAAACTGTTCCAGTCGTGAAGTGGCAGAACAGTTAAGACTTGTATGCCGACGGTTTTCACAGGTAGCTGCGCTGGTTCTAAATTCTGAACTATCGACCTTGGGGAAAAGGATTGGCCGCACTATGGATGCTGTGGAGGAACGTGTGAACACGACTGAAACTATGTCACAGTTTCTGACACTCAATCGAATTTTTGGTGTTCTTGAAATGGTGAGGTCACGGGTAAGTAGCCTGAGTGAGTCGTCATTACAGCTGCTCTTTTCTGTGTCGAAGTTATTAGTTCTAGTTATTAATATTATAAGACATACTCGTACTTTCCTTTTGCACAAATTTTCAGTCCTACAAATCTTGTGCTGTTAATGCCTGGTGGTGCCCATGTACTAGTAGGACACCGTATGGTCTGGTAGTAGTTTACTGGCGTTTCGGAGGAATGTATTGACTCCATATTCAAGGTCGATGATTAAGCTAAGGGTATGCAGAAGATGGAGACTGTATGTTCCCTCGAAATGTCCACAAACTTCAACCATAATACATGTATGTTCCCTCGAAATGTCCACAAACTTCAACCATAATACATGATGTCACATCCTACTCTTTTTTGTTGTGTAGTATCGGCTCCTGAGAGCGGTGACCTGGCGATACGTGAGTAGCCCCTGCAGTGGCTCTGTGCCCCTATCCTACTTCTATGGAGGGCTGCTCTTGGATGAATTCCGGCACATCCTCCGGTTCACCTCCACATTGTCAGGCAACATTGACTTTGACAGTGACTACGTCTACCAGATTTCTGAGTTCTGTACGAGGTTCATGAACCACTTCAAAGAAATTACAGAACCACAGTTTAATACTGATTATTCCGTTTCTGGGTCCAAAATTACTGACCTACTTCACTGCATAATGGACAGGGCCATTTCAACAGGCAGTAACCAACAAGAAGACAGAATGCAATATCAAGGCTCGTTACAAGTGCGTACACTTGTTTCCAAGTCGATATACTGATAGGGGACAGGTGCCATATTTGCAGTATCATTTACGAGCATATACTGAAAACAAAGCAAGTCTTTCTCAGACAATTCAATTTTAAAATTTCCTGATTTTCTACAAAATGTGAAAATCTAACTACTACACCTAGAAACTTAGATGAAATTTGTGTGTTTGGTACAAAAAATTTAAACATTTTAAAAACTTAACAGAAACTTGAGAGATGCAGATTTATTTGATGGAACAGTATGGTACCTAATACAGGATATCGCTGTAAACAAAGCATCATTTCTTCTTTTGTAGAATGGTTAAGGCATTTAAGGCTACTTCTGATTGCCCTAGAATATCAAAGATAAACTAATAACTTTAAAAATACTGTAATTAATGATACTAATATTTTCTGTGTTTCATTCTTTCTTAAATTTTGGTTGTTTAGAAACCTGTGGGAGCCAGGATAGGGCAGTCACTTTAGAGATTAGCTACAGGCTGGGCAACCGAGGGGTCAGAGTTCTAGTCCTTGTAAGGTCAAGAATTTTCTATTTTCTACGTTGTGTATACTGGCTCTGAGGTCCATCAAACCTCCTATCCAGTGGGTACCAGGGGGGCTCTTTCCCTGGGGATAAAGCGGCTAGGGCGTGAAGCTGACCACTCACCTCCAGCTAGTGGTGAGGTCAAGAAAATGTGAATCTATACATCCACTCCCCTATATGTCTTCATATCATAGTACTTAATTAGTTAAGCACAGAGACAACTTTACCTTTAAACCCCCCCAATGGCACCCATGGTATAAGGGGAGCTATATTTTAGCATTTATTGATGTTTAATATTTAAATTTTTAAAGTAATTCATTTCGCTTGACTCTTGTGTTTGTACAGACTGCAGAGGACATGGTAAACCTGTCTGTGTAAATGAGAGACTAAGAGTGAGACCACATGGAGTACAGAGCAGAAACCTGTGTGCTGCTGGCTGCACTGTCTTGTTATGATTAACAATGATTTTGTCATGGACCAGACTCAATTCAAAGTGGAACCCGTGCTTCAGGAAACAGCCGAATGTCTGACGCAAGCATCATACTCAGACTGTCACAAATTTTCTAGTCAATTTTTTTTTTCCTATGGCAGCATAAACGTATACGAATATGTTGAGTTCTGCGCACTGCAGTGTCGGACTAACGGTCAACATCCAGAAGACCCTAATATGGATGTTAATATATCTTCAGATGCAGATCCTCTACTGCTGCCACAATTTATAGAGTCACCACCATTAGCTTTACACATTGACATAGAAATGAAATGCCCCATAGAATTAGCTCCAATGCAATACTTGGAAAAATGTAATTTAAACAATATTGAGTCGCTATGTGATCACATCATAGAGCCCATGGACCCTGCTCTGTTACAAGGAAGCCAGTCATCATTTTTTCTTTAAAATGGATGTGTGTGGCTCTGGGATATCTGAATTCATACTGCCCTCCTCAGTTCAGTTCAAGATAAAATCAAGTGATTGACAATGCGAATAATTTGTCTACTTAGGAACTAGGACTATCTTTCCAAATCTGTTTAGATGCTAAACATTCAAAAATTTATTGAATATGTGAATTAATGGCAATGTTACTTGTAATTAATCTAAGATATTTTTGAAATATTTATTGTTTTAAGGATAGGAATAAAAGACAATTTTGTGAATCAACAACACATTCTCAGTACTCATATCTGCATAATGGAACCAGGTTCCCTGATCCTGTTACCTCTCGTCATGCCGTGCCTACTTATAGGGTGTTCCGTATATAATGCCTCCTATTTTTTGCGTTAATATGTAAGGTCTGAGCTGGATGTTGGTAGTGTTGTAGTAAAGGTTGAACCTTCCCGCCAATGTACTGTTAATTTGGTTGTCGTGCGACAGATAGCGAAAATAGAGCAGTCTTCCAAAATTTCGTCTGACATAGAAGTGCGTATGAAAGAGAAATGTGTTACTGAATTTCTCACTGCCGAACAAATTGCACCCATTGACATCCTTCGACACTTGCTAAAGGTGTACGGAGACAATACATTAGATATCAGCACAGTGAGGCGGAGGGTAGTGCGTTTCAACAGTGGCAAAAGTGAAGTGCACGACAAGCCACACCCTGGGAGTCCCTGCTCAGCTGCCATTCCTCACAATGAACAGCGCCTCGACACTTCCATCTCTTTGGGCCTATGAAATATGGACTACGTGGACAACATTTTCCAGATGATGCTGTCATTGCAGCTGTAAGAAAGTGGCTAGCCTCTGCTGGCGCACACTTTTACAAGCGCGGCATACAGGCTCTTGTTCGTCATTGGCAAAAGTGCATAATGAATGGTGGTGATTGTGGAAAAATAACTGTAAGTAGCTGAAATCTTGCTCTATTTAACTGTGTTGTTATGCTTTCTGTATCTGTTGTAGTTTTCATTAAAAAATAGGAGGCATTATATACGGAACCCTCCTCGTACAATAATTTTATAAGGAAACTGTTTTATGGTATATGTTTGTGTGTCATTCAACAACCCTTTCAGTAGCTACACTACATAACATCAAATTGGGATGACAGATGAATAAGGACATGGAAGGATTTGGAAAGACGAGGTCTCAGCCCAATTGAGATTCTATTCCATTTGCCTGGAGGAAAACAAGGAGAAGCCTCAGTCAGTATAACAGTGTCCTGGCCAAGACTGGACTCCAAATGAGTACGTCTCGAATAAAAGTCAACAGCATTACTGCCCCACCAACCCTCTCAACTTCCTGGAACCATTATGTTCATCCCCCTAGTGAACGCTGATCAACTGAGCGATTTTATAAAACTCTGTATGAATATCAGCAACTAAAACAGGGGTGAACATAACCTGAGTCGAAACCTCTTTCACCAAGAAACTGGTCTCGGACACGAATTTTCCGATTCATATTTGAGCCCTTCTCAAGAAGGGCTCAGCTACATGAATGAGTTAGAGAAATCGGCTGGTGTCAGAAGCTGACAACTCACCTCCATCTAATGCTGAAATGAAGAGTGGAACTATGCTTCAGCTCTCCCATGTCTTCATGTTGTGATATTTAATTAGTTAAGCAGAGGAACATGTTTTACCCTTTCTACCATATTAATTCATCAATATTCTTTTGCTCTCCTAATGATATTTCAGAACAAATTAGGTCTTTTTGAGTGGACTTGCCCCTCATATTGCATTCAGTTTAGAAGCCAGATACAAATTGAAACTTTAGACAGAAAGGAATATTTACCAAGTACGGGAGACTAATTTCTGCCCAGTCTTTGAGGTTAGTATATAAACTTTTATCGTGCAGATGGATAAAAGCTTTCAGATTTCAGAAGTTCAGCTACCAGTGTCTAGTCTTAGGTCTGAATAATGTGCATCATTTACTGGATTGACTCATGTAATCTATTTGTCTGCCTCATACATCTAAAATAGTCTATTAGAAGTGAGTTGAGGTTTGAAGTCATGTAGTAGCAGTCTTGAATCTGGTAAGCTTTGAACACATCGCTGAGATTTGAATTTTCCAAAAGTCACAAAACTTCACCACATCTTAGGGGCAGGATGTAACTTTATGGGCCTTAATATCCAAAATTGATAATCTGCATAATCACTTCAGGACTCTATGAAAGATATGTAAATCTCTGAAATGTTGCCAGTCAAGTCAGTAAATTGTAATCAGGGTATTAGGCCAAAGTGATTAATTACACATGTTGTATATAACTTTGATCTATTAGTGTTTCTTATGGGCAATATTAAAGTGTGTAACTAACTAACTTTGACAGTCATTCAAGTGATCATTCAGTGTTAAGATCAACAGCACTTTCTTTCTTAAACATGTCTGTTGATCATTAATCATAAGGGTACCATCACGCCCTAGAGATATTGCCAGTCAGTACACATTATAAAATGGGTAAGGACAGCAAAGAACTATCATGAACTCAGTCTTCGCTCTAATAATGCGAACAGTATCTTTAATGAATACTTGTGCACCAGTCATTAGCATATAGTGGTTTGGGAAGTTTATTCCACTTAACAAAGTGTTGCAGGCACAATCCATAGATTTCAACATTTACAAATGATATATTGCTAATATCATGTTTAGTTTGATGATAATGATATTATTATTATTATTATTATCATCGTTATTAATAATTTTCTAACAAGAACTACTGGTCAATTCTACCATTAGTTAAATGTGGGTCACAATATCAAAATTCCATACCATCCTCATTTTTATAATTACATTATAAACATTTTTTCATGCTGAACAGGTTTGCCTACAATCTGCCAATCAGATTTCACATGCTACGTCTAGTACAATGTATTGGCCATTGCTTTCTCATTGAAATCCAAATACAAATTTCGCACTCTTCATATCTTCCTGATTTTCTTTGTATGAAAAGAGAATCTCTTCTAATTCTGTTAATCAGTCATAAGCTAAACTCATTATTAAAGACGTATTGTGTTTTCATGTTCAGGTTTCATTTTGGAAGTGTAGGAGCCCAAGTTATACCTCATGTCATAAACTAGCATTATAAGAATATTTTAAATATAGCAAGCAAAATAGAACTGAAACACATTTCCATCTTGGCTATCTCCAAAATTGTCTACATGGTGATATGGGTCATGACACTGTCAGATTCGCACAGGCAGATCTTGTCACTTGCTTGGACATGGAAGTACTGTGTATAGCAGTGGGATGCAACTGGGATAGGAAGGGAGAAATGTGCACTAGTGACGTAAAATTCCAGTTTCTGGTGTCACTTTAACTACCTAAGTACATACAAAATCATTCTGATTAAAATTCACTCATACTGCATGTAACAGCACCAACAAGGCTCAGACCATAACAGGACCAATGATTTACTCTGGTATTCATACTGGCCTCCACACATTTGACTGGCATGAGTCTATCACGGTTGTATTCCAGGACACCTACAGGTCTCTATGCTATTCTCTTCCTAGCAAAAGGGTTAAAATATTAGTCATATAAAAATTTGGCTGTTATGGTGCTGTTCTTAGAAGAAGACAGAATTGAAAAGGAGGGGCACATTTAAATTGACAGTTCTTTCCTCAGAGGGAAGACTGTTACACTTGACTGAAAGTTAATAGAGAACAAGACCAAGTTTCAACAGTACTTACATATGTCAAAGTATCACTTCAGGCTTACGCTCATGAGAATTCAAGATATTCTGACCACACAACATTTTGTTCAGGGAAGAAATGAAAAAATAGAAAGAAGGCAATTTTCTTAAGTTTAGTGGATCAACTCACATAATTGCATCCTGTTCTATATTTTCATTGATTCACATTATTTTATACAGTCAAAATAATTCAGCTATTGCAAGAAGTATAATAGTGGTAAATGTTCTACACCCTGTTTAAGTTTGCAGTTAATGTTTTGAGAACTGACGACTGCATTTAAACTGAAACATGTAATCAAACGTCTATGTTCTACTGACTGTATAAATTAATTTGAATTAATTATTAAATGAAGCCTCACATTTTGTTTCTTGATATCAGTTGCACAATTCTGTATCTTTAAATTCAACATAAAGTGTTTGAAAATAACTAGAAATAGTGGAGGTTAATGCTAGGAGCCAGGATACTTAAGTCGGTATACCATCTAGGCTGCAGGCAGAATGACAAAGGAATCGGGAATCAGTTTCCAGTATGGACAAGAAGTTTTCTCCAAACACCAGACCATCTCTGAGGTCTATCCATCCTCCTACACAGTTGGGTAATTTGGGCTGTTTCCTTGGGGTAAAGTGACAGAGGCATGAAGCTGACCACTCACCACCAGCTGGTGTAGAAAGGGGTAGAGCTATACTTCCACTACACCATACATCTTCATGGCACTGTACATAATTTAGGCTAGACATAACCTTAATTTTACCCGAGATGGTAATGCTTCAGGTGGCTATGAAGGGGACGGGGAAAACAGTGTGTTAAATCACGGAGATACTCATGCTGTGTGAAGGTTTTCATTGCTGTGGCTTTTGTGGAGAAGAGGCGGTAAACTGCATTTTTTTAATTCCTTTAAGGGAACGCTCTTTGTAGTCACTGCTGTTAGAACGTCAAATCCAAGGACTTGTCTCGTTGCTTTCTGAAGTCCCACCCATGAAATTGCTGTGATATTACCTCAGATGAGGCCATGGCTATTTAGTTCACGTCCATTAAAATTCATTACTTACGATCATCCACTCATTTTATACTGTTTAGGATGAGTACTTGACACTGCCCTTGAATATATACAAATAAACCATAGATAGTTTCCCACATTGAAAGAATGGCATCACAGGGTAGGTACATATATTAAAATCTAACAATTAACAGATAACGAAGAATTCTGTAAATAAAATATAACTGTGTGTAGGTTTGTGTATTAAAGCCGTAACTCAAACATGAAAAAAAAACAGTGGTGAAATTTGGCCCATTAACTTTCGAAAACATTACCGTATGTATGTATATACATATATATATATTATTATAGTTAAGATATTAAAAGGAAGTTAATATTCGAGAAATCTTCTTGATAGAGCTGTGTGTAACTTTTCTTGTGGAAGGTCGTCACTATTAATTCTAAAAATTGTTATACGAGTAACTACAAAAAACAAAAAAACATGGAGCCGACAAATTACGTCACATTCGCTTGCGAGCGGCTCTTGCTACAGATGAGTTGGCTACCCGTCTCCAGGGAAACACGGCGAATCAGTTTTGTTGCTATGTGCAGTTTTCCGTGACAGAAGCTAGTGGTGTATAAATTGCAGCGTACAATTAAAAGAAAGTCATTATTCCAGAAACCTTCGTCGGAGTAAGTCCTACAGACGGTCAAACAATCCATCAACTATGGGTTCCCATAAGATCAAGCTGAACATAACCGAATTACCAACAGAAGTGCTAGTATTGATATTCAGAAACTGTTCCAGTCGTGAAGTGGCAGAACAGTTAAGACTTGTATGCCGACGGTTTTCACAGGTAGCTGCGCTGGTTCTAAATTCTGAACTATCGACCTTGGGGAAAAGGATTGGCCGCACTATGGATGCTGTGGAGGAACGTGTGAACACGACTGAAACTATGTCACAGTTTCTGACACTCAATCGAATTTTTGGTGTTCTTGAAATGGTGAGGTCACGGGTAAGTAGCCTGAGTGAGTCGTCATTACAGCTGCTCTTTTCTGTGTCGAAGTTATTAGTTCTAGTTATTAATATTATAAGACATACTCGTACTTTCCTTTTGCACAAATTTTCAGTCCTACAAATCTTGTGCTGTTAATGCCTGGTGGTGCCCATGTACTAGTAGGACACCGTATGGTCTGGTAGTAGTTTACTGGCGTTTCGGAGGAATGTATTGACTCCATATTCAAGGTCGATGATTAAGCTAAGGATATGCAGAAGATGGAGACAGTATGTTCCCTCGAAATGTCCACAAACTTCAACCATAATACATGATGTCACATCCTACTCTTTTTTGTTGTGTAGTATCGGCTCCTGAGAGCGGTGACCTGGCGATACGTGAGTAGCCCCTGCAGTGGCTCTGTGCCCCTATCCTGCTTCTACGGCGGGCTGCTCTTGGACGAATTGCGGCACATCCTCCGGTTCGCCTCCGCGGCGTCAGGCAACATCGGCTTCGACCGTCACTACGTCTACCGGATTTCTCAGCTCTGTACGAGGTTCATGAACCACTTCGAAGAAATAACAGAACCTCAGTTTAATACTGATTATTCCGTTTCTGGGTCCAAAATTATTGACCTTCTTGACTGCATAATGGACGATGAAGAATGGACAGGACCATATCAACAGGCAGTAACAAACAGGAAGACAGAATGCAATATCAAGGCTCGTTACAGGTGCGTACACTTGTTTCCCAGTCGATATACTGATAGAGGACGGGTGCCATATTTGCAGTGTCATTTAGGGCACATACTGAAAACAAAGCAAGTCTTTCTCAGACATTTAATTTTCAAAATTTCCTGATTTTCTACGAAATGTGGAAATCTAACTACTACGTTTAGAAACTTTGATGAAATTTGTATGTTTGGTACAAAAAGTTTAAACATTTTAAAAACTTAACAGAAACTTGAGAGATACAGATTTATTTGATGGAACAGTATGATACCTAACCAGGATATCGCTGTAAACAAAGCATCGTTTCTTCTTTTGTAGAACGGTTAAGACATTTAAGGCTACTTATTCTGATTGCCCTAGAATATCAAAGATAAACTAATAACTTTAAAAATACTGTAATTAATGATACTAATATTTTCTGTGTTTCATTCTTTCTTAAATTTTGGTTGTTTAGCAACCTGTGGGAGCCAGGATAGGGCAATCAATTTAGAGATTAGCTACAGGCTGGGCGACCGAGGGGTCGGAGTTCTAGTCCTTGTAAGGTGAAGAATGTTCTATTTTCCACGTCGTCCATACCAGCTCTGAGGTCCTATCCAATGGATACGGGGGTACTTTCCCCAGGGGGTAAAACGGTCGAGTCGTGAAGCTGACTATTCGGCTCCAGTTAGTAGCAAGATCAAGAAAACGTTTATCTATACATCCACTCCCCTATACGTCTTCATGGCGTAGTGCGTAATTAGTTAAGCACAGGGAGAACTTTTACCTTTCAGAAAGATGCACCCCCAGCCCCTCCCACTGGCCGTCATGGTATAGGGCAAACAATATTTTAGCATTTATTGACGTTTAATGTTTGCATTTTTAAAGTAATTCATTTCGCTTGACTCTTGTGTTCATACAGACTGCAGAGGACGTGGCTAATCTGTCTCGGTGAACGAGAGCCTAAGAGTGAGTGCACGTGGAGTGAAGAGCAGAGACACCTCTACCGCTGTCTACGTCAGCTTATTACAGTAAATAACGATTTCGTCATGAAACAGAATCTGTACAAATTAGAACGCATGTTTCAGGACAAAGCCGAACTCGTGTGGCCATCCTCATACACAGGCTTTCACAAAATTGCTGGCCAGTTGATTCTATGTGGCAGCATGTACCTGCCCACATTTGTCGAGCACCGACGACGGCAATATGCAGATAAAGATACTCTACCGCTACATAAGTTTATAGAGCAGGCACCATTAGATTTACACATCGACATTGAAATGAAATGCCCCAAAGAGTTAGCTCCAATAGTATATTTGGAAACGTATAATTTAAACAATATTGAGTCTCTATGTAATCACATGGACCCTGCTCTGTTACAAGGAAGCCAGTCAACATTCTTCTTTAAAATGGATATGTGTGGCACTGACAAATCTGAATATGCAGTGCCTTTCGCGGTTAAGTTCGAGATAAAATCGAGTGATTTCTCTGCTCAGAAACGAGGACTATTTCTCCAAAGGTGTGTAAATGCTGTAAGAGCTTTTCTGTTCTCACCCTTGTTGGTGATATGGACGTTACTTGGTCTTAAAACCACGTCGAGATGCCTTGGGAGTAGAGAGAGGACAACGTCATGAGTTTGAGCAATGAGGTTCCATCTTAAGGGCTTAACGGGCCTTGCTCAGACGAGGAACAGGTTTTTGTGAAGAAGTCTCTGGACCACACTTAATATTGATGTAATAATGTACTTGATTTATTTAACAGCACTACACGGGATACAAAGCAGTCACTCACAATCACTGATACACCTTTGGCGCGTACTGTACACCACCTTGTTATTCACAGCACAACTCTAATGGTGTATATGATGCGTCAGTCTCCCAGCCCTCGTGTCTGCATCTTATTTCATGCGTGGTGCTGTGGTTACTTGTCTGTCTGGTATTGTCGGGTATTGTGGTTACTTGCCTTGCTTGTCTGTTATTTGTCTGTTTCATGCTGTGATTACTTGTGGTTGCTCGCCATCCGGGATCAATCCTTTAAATACTGTGGGATGACGTAACATTCTGGAATCCTCTATATCCAGTTCATTCTCGAAGCTTTTTCATTCTGCTATTTGAGAACATTCTGGAGGTTTCTTTTAATCAGGTTGGTGGGGTGGGAGTAAGCCGCTCATGTTACCACACCGGCTAACAGAGACTTTTTGAGTAGCCCTTATCTAAACATTCCTCGCTGTAAATTCTTTGAATGGTTAATGCAAAACTGAGCATAAGTCACGATTAGTATAAGATTGGTATTAAGTAACAAGCATTAATATTCGAGAATTACGCTGGTAGGCAATCATCGGTTACAACGCTAAACTTTTGAAAAAATGTTGAATATATAAATTAATAACGGTGTTGCTTGTAATTAATCTAAGTTATTTTTTAAATATTTATTTATTGTTCTAATTATATAAAAATAAAATGTATCTTTGCGAATCGTTAACACATTCTCAGTACTCATATCTGCATGATGGAACCAGGTTCCCTGATCCTGTTACCTCTCGTCATGCCGTGCCTGCTTACAATAATTTTATAAGGAAACTCTTTTATGGTATATGTCTGTGGGTCATTCGACAACCCTTTCAGTAGCTACACTACATAACGTCAAATTGGGATGACAGATGAATAAGGACATGGAAGGATTTGGAAAGACGAGGTCTCAGCCCAATTGAGATTCTATTCCATTTGCCTGGAGGAAAACAAGGAGAAGCCTCAGTCAGTATAACAGTGTCCTGGCCAACACGGGACTCCAACCGAGTACCTCGCGAATAAAAGTCAACAGCAGTACCGCCCCGCCAACCCTCTCAACATCCTGGAACAATTATGTTCGTCCCCTTAGTGAACGCTGAATCAGCTGAGCGATTTTATAAAACTCTGTATGAATATCAGAAACTAAAACAGGGGTGAACATAACCCGAGTCGAAACCTCTTTCACCAAGCAACTGGTCTCGGACAGGATATTTGCGGTTCGTATTTGGGTCATTCCAGGTGATAATGTTGGCCTCAGCGCCCAGTATCTTCACTGACGTTTTCGTGGCTTTCATCACTATGCTACAGCGCGGGAAGCTGCACTTCGGTTCCCAATGAAATCATTGAATGTTTCAATCTACGTAATCCCTTCACCTCCACTATGGCCCTGGAGACTGTTCAGTGTCTAAGGGAAATGAGTACCAGGAATCTTCCCAGGAGTAAAGGGCGGCCGGTGCGTAAGACTTAAACTTCACTGCCATCTGTGAGCCGACTGTCTGGAAAATGTGGGACCCTCGACATCTCACAATTCTATGGGCCTTCACGACCTATTACAGGGTTATCTTTACATTTTTACCATCGAAAGATAAGACCATGTATTAATTTGAAGTTGCGCCTAAATACAAATATGAAAACGCAATTTTCTTATAAGATTTGGAAACGTGGTCACACAATAGTGGGACATATCTCGTTTCTCAACTTAATATCGCTACATTTTAATGTTTTTTTCCCCTAGCAGTCTTCCAGTGCCCTGATTAACAAATGTAGTTGGTTGAGGCTTAAGCTATTCTTGCACCAATTAGTTGTATGATGTTAATTGCAGTAACAGTTCCTTCAGTGCCCATTTTTCGATTGTTCCGGATACACTGATCACCTTCCTCCTTAACCACAACACAGTGAGCAGGTCGGTCAAATGGTAACAATCTGAAATTATATTCAGGTGATTTCCGGTTCTCATCTGGACCGGGACACCTGCCATCCTGAATGAGGATTTTCGTGGATTATCCCAGTCCCTCTAGGCAAATGCTGCGACAGTACTTCAATTCGGGCATAACAGCTTTTTTATAAATTCTTTCCATTTCATTATTAATTAACGAATCTCTTATCTTAGTTCACAAAGCCCAAGTATTGAAAGTGTAATGAGGTGGCCCTGTTTGAGGGGAGGTTTAGGTTTAATGAGGTTTTAATAAGACTATAAGAACATAAAATGTATGTTCTTTGACCGTTGCATAAAGTCACGTACGCCTCAATTAGATCATCAAGAGACGGGGTCATCTGTATTGCACCCGGCACATAAAGGTGATGTATTTTTACTGCAAATTAGCTGCAGCTCGCAGAGCTGGATGACAATTAGCGACCATAATGGGGTGCTATTAGAAGTGGATTGGGTGGAAAGTAGGCAGGGAGCACAAGTTGAAAAATTAGTTCCGTTGTATCATAAAACAGATGTTCTAGGCTTGCAGGCCTTTCTTTGGGAAAAGTATATACTTTGGGTTGGAAATTGTAGTTCGGTTGAAGAGATCTGGAGCAATTTTAAGCTTATAATTTTCGAGGGTATCAAACGTTATGTTCCCAAAAAAACGCTGAGTAAAAATCCTGACCCTGAATACTATAATAGGGAAGTTAAACGATTAAAAGTAAAAGTTAGAAAAGCATATAATCAGAGCAAATATAGACAGAATTATCATGTGGAGCTGAAACGATTATCCAGAGAGTTACTATTAGCAAAAAAGAAGGCTCAGTAGACTTTCTTAAGCTCGGTCCTACAAAACGTAGGTAGAAGTTGGCCAGAGTTCTGCAAGTAGGTTAAAAGGCCTAAGGGAAATCGAGAAATTATTCCGGCGATCAAAGACAGTAATGGCAAGCCCGTCACAGAACCAGTGGAAAAGGCCAACATCCTTAACTCCCCTTATGCTTCTATATTCAGTTCTGAGAGTAATAATACTCAAATTCAACCAACAGACTCAGGTAAACCATTCACCGTTGATATCAACATAATTAGGAAGCGATTATCAGAAATCGGGCGGAAGAAGTCGGCCGGACCACATTGTATTCCTGAGGAAATTGTGAAGCTAGACGGAGAAGCCATGATTCCATACCTCACGAGTCTGCCGGATATAACGATGAACAATAATGCTATTCCAGGTGACTGGAAAAGAGTCATCGTGGTCCCTATTTACAAAGGGGGAGACAGATCACTAGATGGAAATTATAGGCCGGTCAGTTTAACATGGGTTGTTTGCAAGCTATTGGAGCACGTTATAGCAGGGTACCTAAGACACGTCTGGGATGCTAGTGACTGGTTATATGAGGGTCAGCATGGGTTTAGGCCTGGGTACTCAGGCGACAATCAAGTGGTCACGGTTTGTCAGGATATTGCGGATCGCAGGACGACGGGGCCAGAACAGATTCTGTAGTAATAGATTTCTCAAGGGCCTTTGACCTCGTTCCTCACGACAGACTGCTTACAAAAATTTCGGAAACCGGAGTCGATGTAAGGGTAATTAAATGGATTAAGAATTTTCTCGTAGAACGCTCGTAGTAAACAACTACTCAAAGAACTGTAACCGTAAGTCCCTCGCCAAAATTATTAAATTAAGGGAATGAACAACTTATGCTATGTAAGTTTTGAGGTTTTCACGGCGATGACAATGAAGAAAGTTGTCTTCTGGGTTTAGGCACCGTGTATTCTTCGTTTTGGCCGACGTTTCGGAGGAACGTAGCGCCTCCATCTTCAGAGCTACTGCTCTCCGCAGCTATTCAACTGCTCTGAAGATGGAGGCGCTACGTTCCTCCGAAACGTCGGCCAAAACGAAGAATACACGGTGCCTAAACCCAGAAGACAACTTTCTTCAACTTATGCATTGTTTAACACCATGAGAGAAGCTCCTCCGGCGAGATACCATCCCGGGACCGTCTAGCTGTAATTCAACTATTGTTCTCCTTAGGCTTAGGGTGTCACTATTGTCCCTAACGTCGCTAGTTTGCTCCTAGTATCATAAACCCATGAACTGACCTTGTGCTAGACCGGCCAGGAGGGGTCTTGGGTTCCCTGCTCGTGTGCCTTGAAGACCTAAAAAGTTTATGGGCATCTCGAAAAATACGAATGTAGGACAGATGCCGGGCTCGACCCTTGGCTTTCTCTTTTTATTTTCTCGTTTTTTATGCCAACTGGGGAACTTAAAGAGAGAGCAATTGTTTACAGGGAGCGGAGGTGGACACTTGAAAAAGGGAGTTACAGGAGGGTAGCTGGGGAGTGGAGTGTATGGTCAGTGAGTTCGGGGCAAATTAGCATACAAAGGTTAAGTGTGACGGAGCGGCAAGCTTGGAGGAATAAAATAAAGATTAATTCCCGTGTGAAATTTTAAATTCGGACTTCAATATACGGTGTGTTCTGGAGATCCCTGATTTATTAACCCCGAAGTTTGTTCCACTCCCATATCCGAAGCACCCGTATCCCTGAGATAAAGAACTCAAGCTCGAGCGACAGTCGTGGCAGATGTACGTCGGCGGACGGCTACAGAACTGACATTGGTAAATATTCGTTCGTAAATAGGACCATCTTAAACTGGAACCAATTACCCGCATTCGAATGCAACGTTGTGTCAAAATTTCGAAACAATCGGTGAAGAACTTTCGGAGATTTAAGATCCTGAAAAAACGAATATTTATATTTTTATTTATATAGATTATTTACGTTTTTATTGTATTGTGACGCATTTGCTCTTTGTATGACACCCCCTCCCCCGTCAGCGGTGACGTGGCACCTTCGGAGCGTTGCCGTTGCCACGGTGGTAGGCCAGTCAACATCCCGCCCCCTCCCGCGGTAACGTAACACGGGATGCCGCCATTGCTACTCAGCAGTAAACAACTCCCGACAGCGTTGCTAGGCTATCGGCAAACACAGCGTCAGACAACAGTGGTGCCTATTACGTAACTGTTTTCTGTGTTGTCCGTAACGGGGCTAAATAAGGAGCAGCGAAGACTATTCAACAGTTAGTTACGAGTTAGCCAGGGAGTCAGTAAACCAGTCAGTTGTAGGCCAAGTAATTGTAATACTGCAGATGGCAGTAGTTGTGAAATTGTGAATTGTGTGATTGTACGAGAGAGTGTGAAATAAAATTCGCTATATCCAATACGGCGTAAAGTTATTTGTCGCGTTATACACCCAACACGTGACAGTATTTTATTTTACGTTCTTATGGTACTTGATTACATTTTATTGCATGTACGTTTTGATGTATTGGGTAATACGTTTTGTTGTATTGTGTTGTATTGCTGTATTTTGTGTTGCTATTACTGCCATCGGGTGCAAACCCAATTGCAGTAAATAATAAAATCTTCCCTATATTTTAAATGTCACTCTCCCAAAATTTTTAATAACTTTGTACAATCAAACCACAAGAATAGAAACACAGTTGCTTATATTTCTCTGATGTGTTATGGCAGTGAAGGAGACAGACGTGTTAAAGCTTTGGAACATGAAGAAGCGAGAGAGTGAGAGAGTGAGACTGAGGTGAGAAGAAACAGTAGAAGTGACGGTGAAATGGACAAGTCGAGGAAGTCAGATACATTTTATTTAGGGGGGGGGGAAGAAAGAGTGCTGTTTCATTTACTCAGAAGGTTGCCAAGTTGCGACCTCTCATTATTCTGATAAGTGAAGGGGGTCGAAATGGTTTGAAGTAGTGGCTTGAGACAAGTAGCGCAGAATTGTGATTTTCTTAATTAATAAAAAATTGCATAATTTCGTGGCCTTTACAGCAACGGAATTTATTTTAGATGACTTAAAATTGGAAGGCCTCTCTGAGAAGCACGAAGTAGCAACATTTAACTTGGGAAACACCTCAGTATTTACTTGAATACAGTGAAATCAAGGTAGCACGTTTTGAAGACGATCGCTCGCAGGAACTTCCGGTGTGTACTGACTTGTAAGTACATAACCTGAATAATATTAAAATATTTAGTTTTAACCTCACAGAAAACACATTGCGTCTACAATACAAAGACCAGCCGGTTAGTGTTCCTTCGTAAAATATACTCTGTTTAGTGTAACAATCATATGAAGCACATAAATAAACTATGTATATACAGATGTAAGGTAAGGTATAGCTGTCCCTGTGCTTAACTAATTAAGCAGTATGCCATGAAGGTGTATGGGGAGTGGATGTATAGATCCACATTTTCTTGACCTTGACACTAGTTGGAGGTGGACCCCAGAGCCGGTCTGGACGAGATGGAGAAGTGAAACTTTTGACACTACCGTGACTCGAACTCCGACCTCTCGGTCGTCCAACCCGTAGCTAGTCGCTATACTGACTACACTATCCCCGAAAGTTATAGGGACAGACGTAAGAAATTCTTAATGTAAAATGTAATGTACAAGTTCCACCGAGTAGCGGAATGTTATATATAATATATGGTATCCGCTGTGCTCTAAATGGCTAAAAGTAAAAAGGTATTCACATCGTAGTCTTCTGGGTTATGATACGTGTAGTGGTTCTAATTTCTGTCCAGCAGTTGTTTTGGTACTTGTTTGTTCTCATACTCTGGACAGTGATGCCATCTGCACGCGTAGTGAAGTTTCAGAAAGAACTGGGATGGATAGACAGTGCTTTAGAACTCGCAACAAAAGTATCAAAATTATCAAGAAGTTGCACTCTCCTCACGCTCCTCGCTGTATAGTTTTCCAGTACTCTGACGTGGTGCGTTAGGCAAATCAAAATGCTTTATATAAAAGCAAACATTCATAAATAAACCCAAAATCAGTTCGGAAGACTTGTGTAGGGTACAATTTTATGACGTATGGTAACTTTGTTCATTTATGTCTTCACATTTTAGTGTATTTTCCTTATACAGAGTGAAATGCACGTCAGTGATGTTGATAGTACAACTTGGTGTCTCAATGCTTTAAGCCAGTGCGTATAAACCGGTCGTGATTTTAGAAATGTGTTGATAGTGTTGTTTTCCAAGTTCCACAAAGTAGCGGGATATTAAACTGCCGACCACGCCAACCATACACCATGGAGCAATGTGTAACAATAGACATTTCATCTTTTCACTGAACGTGAATGAACTACGACGTAAGTAAACAAATTTTGTATGACCGAAAGTAGCAACAGCCGCATGTATGTATAGGGTTATGGAGCAAAGCTTATGTTACTCTCGCAAGCAGCCCTCCAGAAATATGAGTACTTATCCTGTTCCCAAGGGTGATATTGGGGTAGTAAGTACCTTTAGTCTCGACTGCAAGTGTGAGTGGCTTGTCCATATGGAGAAACCTAAATGTTTGGGTTTGTAGTCAGCTGTAATGGAGCTGTGAGAAAAACAAGGGACACAGGGCTGACAGCATGCCGCACTTTTCTCTGAACTAAATTGGGACGAATGCGGAATTATCCGTTCTTCACCCATATATCTTCATAGAGTAGTGCTAATTAGTTAAGCTCATGGAAAACGTAACTATAGACAGTCGGCTCACAGATGGCGGTGAGGTTGTCAGCCTTATGCGCCGGCCGTCCTTTACCCCCCAGGAAGATTCCTGGAACTCATTTCTGTTAGATGCTGAGTCGGCCCCATGGCCATATTGAAATTGAATGGCAAATTGAAAAAAAATCCACCTCATCGGGACTCGAACCCGCGACCTTCCGGCTTGTATCATAGTGCTACTGCGTGCCCCATATCCAATATGAAAGACTGGTATTGAGGACTCGTAACACATCCGGGATGCCAACCGGAATACCTGCGAATCGGTTTAGCAACCGCAATCCCGTACATATTGGCCAGGGAACGGAGCAAATTTCGTAACATCTTAGGCCTTCTGTATTAGGTACGCGGTACGAAACAGACGAAGTGCGTTACCGACGGGCACACACGAAACATCAGTTGGTATATGACTGACGAATGCCAGTGTTGAGATTTTCCTGTTATCGACAACGTCCAGAGCAGCTCTGGAGCCCACCCAGCTCCCTCCCTGTACAATGGACTCGAGCACCGGGTGTGTCGCAGCTTGGTCTAGAGTCAGCTCACCGCCATCAGGTGCCGAGGTTAAGACTGCGTGCAGCTATACCTCCACCTGCCCCTACGTCTCCATGGCGCGAGGCGTCTGCCTGGAAGCGAATCCCGATTTGTATCCGTATTGTCACGTGATAGTGACCAGACACGGGGTTTGGATTGGTAACTGGATTTGTTAAACACTTACAAATCTTTAACTAAACTCTCTAATTTGCACTATAGCATGTCGCCTTCATTTTCAAGTTAGTCATCAACCTTGCAGACGAAGGCGACATGTTCCTCCGAAACGTCGATTGACTTCCAGCAGAATACATGGCGTTATATCCCAGAAGACAGAAATCTAGGAGCTTCTTGCTGTGTAGTGCCGAGAAAGCTGATAACAAGTAGGAGCGTTAATGACTTATATTAAGCAGGGCAAGTTCCATTTCGAATCTCAGCTGGGACACAAAATATCCTGAATGATTTTGTCGTGGTTTCCCTCAACCTCCAGGAAAGCCACGGGATACCTTAAGCAGGCCACGGCCTTGTAGCTCCATATATTTTCCAGTACATTGCGTATTAATCGACCCGCCATTCGACGCTGTGTAATCTGAGATATAGATTCGTCGTTATAAACTATCTCGAACTCCGTGTAGTTGAGCCAGTTGCACAGCTAGTGAAAGATTTCCTAATACAATGCTTTCAACCAACGAGGAAACTTCGCAACACCGCTGGGCGGGAACAACATTCCTCACAGATTGCTGCTGTAACTGCCGATAGCAGAATGAGTCATTAGCGCTGATAAATGCTCGCCGTCATGTGGTCTGATCTTGTCACTGCAGTAAGTCGCATTAATAGTAGGTAGTTAGTTAGTTATTGGAGAGGGTGCGTTTCCCCATACACTGAGACTTGTATTGGTCCATTGTGCTTCCCTCTATGATTTCTACCAGTCTCTATATCTTACCGGTACTGGTGCATACCATCAGTCCCGCCCAGCCAGCGAGACCGGCTCTACTAGCTGAGAGGTATCTATATTGCTTCCCCCATCTACCAGAGGTATTAGAGACTGCTGTTGGGCGGGAAACGTCCGTTAATTTGGCTCAGAGACCTCCTATGGAAATATGAGGTTCTTTTACGTGCCGTAAAGCTACGACACGGAACCCACGGCTTAAAATCCCTCCCGGAGGACTTGTTCCCTGAAATTTTCCGCCCTTAAAAATTCCACGACCTCCGCCGGGTTTGAACCCGCGTACCTTGAGTCATGAGGTGGGAACGTTACCCCTAAACTACGGAGGCCGCTAGGGCTGTGTCATAGCTAGGGACCGGATTTTTATGCCCTAATAATCCCTTAAATATGTATGCATTTATGCATCAAAAACTTCCGAATTATGCACTAAAATATGCACATAAAAATTTATACCAAATATTAAAATTGATTTTACATTATTTTAAGACCAACAAATCAACATTTAAGTTCACTTTATGTAATCACAGAATGATTCACTTGCAATAAAAAGCTATACTTAAATACAAATCNTTAAAGAATGCTGTGTACTTTTTCCTTTACTACTTCACCAACTCTTCCAGGAACCGAATTCAATTTGGAAACAGTAGTTTTGAACACACTTAACGACTGATACAAAGTAGTATTGCTATTGCTTGCCTCCAGTGAGGAAATGGCGGATGGAAGATGAGAGAAGTGAGCAGATATATAGGAAAGATTAGTTTCTAGTCCTGCGTTTTTTAGTACATCTTGGGCAATTAAATTGATGCTGCACTTTTGGGATCAAATGTATTCACGACGTTCCTGTTTCTAAATGTTTGGTATAATAACTCGTTGCACATAGCCACGTGCCCCAGAGCGTTAAAATTGGTTCTGGCGGAAGTGGAACGCTTGGTGCTACTGCTTTAAAGGCCTCTTTTCTGTATGGAGCTTTAACAAATACCTTCTTCACAGAAGACACCAACTTGTCAACAAGTGGAAAATTTGCACGAATTGTTTCTGCAACACGGTGCAACCCATGGGCAAAGCAAGTCAAATGTGTCATATTTGGAAATATAACTTTAAGAGCAGTACCGGCTTTCATCATATAACTTGCGGCATCAGTCACAAAGAGCAATACGCGCTCATACTGAATGCCATTCGGCCATTGTAAATTCATGGAATTGATAAAAAGTTCAGAAACTGAGGAGCTATTTGTGGTTTCAAATTGTTCTACCGCAAGAAGATATGGGGTAGATTGTTCATTCTTATTAAGGGATCCAACTATACAATTTGCAATAAACCGTCCCTCACAATCTTGTGTTTCGTCGATTGACACCCACACAAATTTATCTTGAATCTTATCTCTAATGCTTTCAATTGTAAAATCCAAACACTGCTTCATGTAATTTTTAGACACAGTAGATTCATCCGGCACTTTGCAGTGTATACTTCTCTATGAAGTTTCTCAGAGTAGGATTGGTTACTTTCCACAGCGGAATATCTGCCGCTAAAAAGGCATCGCATAAATCAAAGGAAAATTGGAAAACTATTATTAGAAAATTCACTAAGCAATTTTTGAACAGGAGCACTTTTCGTGGATTTAATTTTAATATTCTCTTTGTGTATATTAGTGTTCAAATACTGAAGCACTTGAAAGCGTTTTTCACAAGCAACTGCTAGGCAATGAAGAATTTCGTTATCCATACTTATCATCTCTCATTCGAACTCCCGTTGGTACAGCTGTAATTTAGTTTTCTGACTTACTTTCACTTTCGGCATGACTACAGAAAGCTAAACTAACTTAACTACAGACCAGTCACCACTAATGTGAATGGCCCCAGCTTCAAATGAAGAAGCGTTACGAACCTCATGGAGACTTCGGAAATAAATAAGTGAAGTCCCTTATCGGTTGAATAGTATTACGTTGATAGCGGCTACATGTGAACGCTTCCGACTAATCTCTTGGAGGCCACTTTGAAGGTACGCGGATGAGGCAAGTTACGAGTAGAGGGATCGGGGAAGTCCCGTCCTGGGTATTGCATCAGAAACATGAATCATGACGAAATGTGGAGTCAAATATGCAACATACTAATACGGAAAAGAAAAATTGTATACACAGGACCATGATTGAAAATTTGAACATAAAATTAAAAAATATATATGATAAACATTTTAGAAAGGAAATATGCAGTATAAACAGAGGTCTTTGAAAATGTGATGCTTATTCATAAAACAGGCAAAATATGAATTTATATGCACGATCAAACCATGTCCAAAATCTAAGAAATGAAGTAATTCATACATATATCCAAACGAGCATACTTTGTGGTTGCAAGAAAGTAATATGCATTTGCATTAAAATCCGGTCCCTAGTAATAACTCTGTAAACAACGCCATTGCTAGGCAACGAATTCCTACCACGGACTAGTGAACTAAATGGGAAGCGCGGTCCGTGTGACAGCTGCGTGATGCAACAATAGAAGAGTTGTTGGAAGCGGCTTTTTGTATGTGGTTCGTGCCGAGGTCTTATAAACAGGACAAGTCTAGAATTAGTTAGTTATGAATCAGTCGCCGGCCAGTATGGGCGTGTACACGGTAGCTGACGAAGCTACGGCGTTGGAAGCCGATACCAGGCGACAAACTGTAAAGATACAGCAGACTGAGAATACTTCGTACGTGCTGTAGTAAACTGTAGACTGTGTGAATTAGAGACAGTGCTGTCGTTACTTGTAGTTAGGGGCCGCGCCAAGCTCAAGCGGTTAGTCTCTGACTTTCCACCTCGGCGGCCCGGGTTCGATCCTGGGTTAGGTCAAATGGGATTTGTCGTGGACTAAGTGGCTCTGGGGAAGATTTTCTCCGAGTACTTCGGTTTCCCCTGCCAATCTTCATTCCATCAATTGCTCCACAATCATCCTCACCTGTCATCTGGGGCTGGTACAATAGGCCAGAAGTGGTCGCAGTACAAGGGACTTAGTCCCACCCCACTAGCAACAAAAAAAAAATACTTGTACTTACGTTCTCTAAGTGATCAATAAATCCAGTTTTTTTCCTTTGGCACTACAGCCCCAGTGGGCCTAGGCCTACCTCCATGAACTTCTCCGTTCACTTCGGTTTTTCTAAATCTTACACATTCGGTAGGACTCCTTGGGCGGGTGATCAGCTCATCGCAAGGCCTCTACCTGTACACAAACACAGAAAAACGCACACACACAAACTAAACATCCATGCCCTGAGTGAGATTCGAACCCACGATCCCGGTTTCCAAGCGAGCGAAGACAGTACATGCCTTAGACCGCTCGGCTACCGTGACCGGCAATAAATCCAGTTACCCATCCGAATCCCGTCTGTAATCATTCATAGACGTGGAAGTATTAATTTACGAGAAATGAAATCTGAAAATGTTAGTTTTGATGTTGGTTCATTGTCAGTGTTAATTCTGCTTATGGATGTTTTTACCTTGTGGATGAAGGTAGTGCTGCCGACGTTTCGGAGGTACATGATGCCTCCATCTTCAGGTTATAAGTAAAGTAGGGTGAGTGAATGATCATGTATGTATAGATTTTTATCCAGCAGATCGAGGAGGAGTAGTGGATGCTGTACCAATAGGGACAGTGAGACGGGAACAATCTGTTCTTGTGCGAGGTGCAAATACTCAAGAGGAGAATCCGCAACGAAAGTGATTTAATATTAAACAGTTTATATATCCGTACATAAAATATATGTGGAGGGCACGGGGTAGCGTAGTCTGTTGAGGCACTATGCTACAAGCCGAATGGCCGCGGGTTTCATTTCCCATTAGGTCATTGGATTTCTCAATTGAATTAATCCTTCCAGCCCCAGTATAACCCTGGGATTTACTGAGCTTCTGACAGAAATGAGTACCAGGAATCTTCCTGGGGGTGTAAAGGGCGACCGGCTCGTAAGACTGACAACCTCACCGCCATTTGTGAGTCGATTGTCTAGAAAATATGGGAGCCTCGACGTCATACGACCCTATCGGCCTCCATGGCCTGTTAGAGAGGTTTACTTTATACATATACATGCTACGTCTGTTTATATTGAATGTCTCCTCAAACAAAAATTGAAGAAACTGAGACGTCTCAAAGCAGAACGTTTGAAACGGCCGGAATTATAAAATAATATTGAAAGCTGTACATTCCAGTTTCCTTCGACGCCTTGTTTCTGTGTTCAGATTTAATTCTTCACAAAGATCCCTATTCTCTTTGATCCTGTTTCTGTTTTTATTACATGATACGTCAGTTTTTGTTTTTTGACGACATCTGTTGCGAGAATTTTATCCCACGTTCCTGATTTTATGAAGGAAGTTAAATCGTCGACGTCATGTCCGAGTGTTTTGTGTTCTGTCTTGCTCCTGTGACTGCGTGTGTGTGAGTATAACACACGCAGTCACAGGAGCAAGACACAACACAAAGCACAATACACATGAAAGCAGAAAGAATACTCCGATAGAAGAAGATAGGTGTGACACGCGTATTGAGATACGACATAAGGATGACAAATCCTGAACAGTTTTAATATTTAAAATTTATCATTATATATGACGAATATATATTTTAGTATAAAGACAGCAGGGCATGCAATGAAGTATTTCGACGTACATAGAAAAGCACCTGAAGATGGCACTTTAGTGCTGAAACATGCAGTGCAAGTGAGAAGAGTAAGGTAAATAAATGTATGCACTGTAAGACGGTCAGAATAAATCATGGACATAAATCAGTGCAACAGGACGCTAAAATATAACATTATTTTACACAGTCGGTAGGCCTCCTTGGAAGGGGTATGAGCCCGTCGCAAGGCTTCTACTTGTACACAGGACAGCATAGACAGAATAAACGCACACAGACATCCATGCCTTAAGCGAGATTCGAGCCGACGATCACAGTATTTAAGCGGGCGAAGACAATTGATGCCTGTGACCGGCGCTAAGGAAGATAATGACAATAAAATAAGGTACCCCACTTAAAAGTACTTCACTGTTAGCAAATCTTTAATGCGATGAATGGGCTTGAGGAAGTGATATCAGTTTCCCAGTGTCGAGTCTGAAGCCGCTCCAGTTAAAAATATGCGAAAAACGCCTCCAGTGCCCTTCTGCCGCCCCCAGGAGGCGGTACAGCCCACTTTGGGAACCACTGGCCCAGATACGCCCATCGCCGGAAAGGTGCTCACAATAGAAATAGACTAATTCCCGCTAATAGGTGTGTTTGAAGGGGGGGGGGGTTCTTACACATGCTGATGGAAGTGGATCTAGTATCCGAAACGTCGTATGTATCAATGATACCTCAGAAAACACACGATGTCGGCAGTGTCATATACCACACGGTTAGTAGCCGGCTTTCTACCGTAGCTGTCCGGGTTCGATCCCAAGTCATGCGGTATTTGTGGTGTACAAAGTGATAGTGGGGCAAGGACTATCCGACTACTATTTCCCCTGCCAATTCTCACTCCACTAAAGAGGTAAAGTTGACCATCTGCTTAGCTAATTAAGCACTACAACATGAAGACGTATGGGGATTAGATGTATAGATCCACGTATTCTTGGCCTCCGCACAAGTTGGAGATGTGAGTGGTCAACTTCACGACCAGCCCGTTTTAGCCGCTGGCAAAAAAAAAAAATCCGGTACCCATTGTATTGGAGGCTGGTTTGGCTCCAGAGCCGGTCTGAACGACGTGGACATGAGAAAAAACTTGCCCCTTCAGGGACTCGAACTCCTACCTCTCGCCTATCCAGCCCGTAACCAGTCTCTATACTGACTGCTATGTAAGCAGTCTTACGAAAGAAAAATTATATGTCAAGTACGTTTGAATTTCCCACAGTCGTATGAACGCCGCGCGTATGTTGAAAACGGAATGAGACAAATTTCAAATGATGACGTAATGGTACACGTCGCTAAATGGCGATGACGCACGCTCATTCCTGTATTAGATGGCGTATAATAAGGTAAAAAATTCCCTGTGCTTAACTAATAAAGCACTAGGCCATGAAGGAGTATGGGGAAGTGGATGTATAGATCCACATTTCTTGGCCTCGGCATTAGTTGCAGGTTGGTGGTCAGTTTCATGCCCCGGCCGCTTTACTTCTAGGGAAGAGAGCTCCCGTTACCCATTGGATAGGTCAGGTGGACCACAGAGCCGGTCCGGACTACGTGGAGAAAATGTTTGACCCTACGGGGCTCGAACTCGAGATGGAGTTTAAGAGCTGAATAGTGTCTGTTTACGGATTTCAAACGAGACAGTGCAAAAATAAACGCGTTCACTTCACGACATTTGCAACACCCGCTTCGCTTTATCTGAATTTTATTGTTTTCTTTTTTAAAATCGAACACAACACTATCTTAATGATACGTGCCTCGTGGAGTGTCTTTATTCTTATTAAACAGCATCAAACAGTTGTCTTAGTCTCCGCCGTATTTACGCTTTCTTCATCAACATATATTGATATCTGATGTATTAAAACTCCGTCACTCTTTCTACGTGCCTCGTCAGAGGAAGCCATAAAACTGGGCTGCGTAGATTTTACGAGTCCAACTTGAGAAGTTTGATTACCAGGTGTTGACATTTTACTACGGCTCTTTTCTTCTGAATTACGACGCTGCTCATCCTTTGAGCCTTTGTTCGCCTTGTGACTCTCTGGGCTGGTCCCTGCAACTTTACTGCTGTTTCTGTCGGAAGACGTTGAAGCCAGCGGAACGAGGCTAACGCCTGTACCGGCCCCTGAGCCCTGGTAGTCGAACGTGCCACCTCCTGCGCAGGGTCAGTCGGGATCGTACCGGCAGTCTATGCGCAGAATGAAGAGGACAGCTAGTATGGTGATGGCCGTCAGGGTCAGCTCCGTCACAGCGAGCACCACCACAGTTTCACTGAGCTCTGATTTCGCCTCGCTGTGAATAAAAATCCCGGGTTAATGCACTTACATAACATAACATAATTTGAAGCATGAGAAGGGGGTAAGAAAGAAAGTATAGTAAAGAGGCTGTCCCTGTGCTTAACTAATTAAGTACTACGCCATGAAGGCGTATGGGGGAGTGGATTTATAGACCCACAGTTTCTTGACCTCAACACTAGCTGGAGGTGAGTGGTCAGCTTCGCCCCCGGTACCCATTAGATAGGAGGANTCAGCTTCACCCCCGGGGAAGAGCCCCCGGTACCCATTAGATAGGAAGTTGGGTGAACCCAGAGCCGGTCTGGACGACATGGAGAAGTGAAAATTCTTACCCCCCACCGGGACTCGACCTCCGGTCCCTTGGTCGTCCAACCCGTAGCCAGTCGCTGTACCGACTGCGCTGTCCCGGCTCTTAGTAAAAGAGGAGATGAAATGTAAAGTCATGGGAAAATGATACTCTATTTTGGAAACATAAAGGTCTATCCTTTTGATTTTAATGTTCATACACTTATACTGCTTGTCTTTCTGATAAGGGCAGTGTGAAAATGAGAACGTTAGGATGTTTCGTAGCAGCGGATTGAGGCAGGAGTAGCGGAATTTTGGTTTCCTAAAGCGTTCAACTGAATACCCACTAGTTTTTTTTTTTTTTAGTTTCTTGGGGTGGGGTGAGACTGACTCCACTTGGTACGTCTGACCTATTGTACCAGCCCCGGATGATACACGTAGATGATGAATGTGGAGATGTAGGTTGAATGAGAATTGTCAGGGGAAACCGAAATACAAGGAGAAAACCTGACCCAATGCTATTCTGTCCACCACAAATCCCACATCACCTGACCTGGGCTCGAACCCGGGGCTCAGCGGTGGGAAGCCAACGGCTAACCACTTCAGTTATGGCACGAACTTAACCAACTAAGTGCATGGAGCTGAGTCCTTCTTGAGAAGCTACTAGTCGTTCAGTCATTCAAAAACTTCCAAATATTTTAAGAGAACCGAAGATTCATCACCGTGTTCAAGAAAGCCTTCCGCTGACCCTGAGCCAGATCAATCCAGTCCATACCACCCGATCCTGTTTATCTACGATCCATTTGTCTTATAACTGCTATCTGTAAACCTGCCCTGTAAAGACTTCTTACGTTCCCTGTGCCAAATATTGTGTTCATTTTCCTTAGATTAGGTCGCTTATCGAGGTGGCTTGCGGTAGCATAGTTGGTTGAGGCACTATGTAACAAGCCGGAAGGTCGCAGGTTCGATTCCCGATGAGGTCATTGGATTTTTCTAGTTACCTAATCCTTCCAGCCGCAATACGGCGCTGGGGTCGATTCAGCCTCTAACAGAAATGAGTACCAGAAATTTTCCTGTTGAGTAAAGGGCGGCCGGCGCGTATGGCTGAAAACCTCACCGCCATCTGTGAGCCGATTGTCTAGCAAATGTGGGAGCCTCGACGTCTCACAACCCCATGGGCCTCCACGGCCCGTTACAGGGATTCCTTTACTTAACATCACCGCCATCT